TGAACGAGTCAGTCAGCTCTGAAATAAATCGATTTCAAGCAAAAAAATTCTATGAAAATGTGATTTAAAAAAAATACATAAATTTAAAAAAAACTTTTTTTTACACATACATACAGAAATGCATTATGGGAGCATGCAGTCAGTCACTCTGGTAACAGTTTTATGATTGGTCGATATCTCATTAGGATTATAGGTAGTTTAGATCTTCAGAGTTAATTTGATTATTAAACATGCTGTTATGAAGTTCACAGTAAAAAAAATATTGATGGTTTAACTTAAAAAAGTAAGTAACCTGGTTGCCTTAAACCTGGAAAAAGTGAGTTAATACAATGAAGGAGAATGATTTAATCATCAGAAACTCAAAATTATATGTTATCTGAACTACATAAATTATTTAAGTTGATTTGACAAAAGAAAAAATGTAGTGATTACTACACTGTAAAAATTTTTGTTGGTTTAACTTAAAGAAGTAAGTAACCTGGGTTGCCTTAAAATTTTAAGTTGATTGAACTGGAAAAAGTGAGTTAAAACAATGAAGCAGATTAATTTAATCATCAGAAACTCCAAATAATAAGTTATCTCAACTAAATAAATTATTATAAAGTTGATTTGACAAAAGAAAATATGTTGTGATAGCAAATCTTGAAAATATTTTTTTACAGTGTTGAAATACCACTTAAAATCAGGGTCATTTTAACTAAAAATCAAATTCTGTTTAAAGAAATAAATGGGATTTTTACTTCAATATGCCTACTGCACTCAGTACTTAAAAATATAAAGCAGACATGTGATTGGTTGAGGTCTTTGGCGTCCTCCAATGAGAAATCACTCTACCGAGGGTGCGATAGGAAACATCTCCATAAATGCCTGTCTAGGAGCCATGCATCAATGTGTCAATGTGTTGAGCGGCACTGACACTGAGAAAATGAAAAACCTTCAGGGTTCGCTCTACAGTTATAATCCTATTACTAATGATCTTCCATTGAAAAAACAAATTACCCAAGTATGATGGTCTTTGAATATGCTATAGCGCTAAGCCACGCTTATTACCTGAAACATCAAATATCGCTGGACGGAATCGGTGATTCATCCTTCAATTCGGCGTGTTAATGGGGATACTCGGGTTTGCCAAATAAAGAACAGAACGGGCTGAAGCGCTAGTCTCATTATGCTGGAAGAGGGAGGGGGCGAGACAGGGCTTTTGATCACCCAGCAAGGCCTACTCCTGCTTTCAAGGCTGTCATTGACATAAAGGAGCATTAGTGATCTTTTGTGCACCTTGAAAGGGTTTTAAAAAGATAAAGAGAAGAGGCATGAAAGACTACAAAACAAATGAAACGGAGTAAAAAGAATAGGGTGATCAGTCAGTTATTCTCTTTATTTATACTAAAGTGACTGTTTAGCTGTTTTATGTACTGACATCTTATCCTTCACCTACCGGTATAATGACTAGGCTATTATTAGTTATGTCAGGGGTTTTCTTGAACCAATGAGATCAGATGATCTCCTTCCAAAAACATGTTTTCATATATACAGACTCATTTGAACTGAGTGCCATTTAATGGCATATTTTAAGCAAATATTTATTGCTTACTTTTAAAAAATATTGTTTTTACCATAGAGTTTTTCTGTGATGTCTGCTGATTATCTAATACATAAAGCTGAGTAACTACCGATTTTTGTTTGAAACAAGAATGAATTGAATCGTTCACTAAACCAATTCTTTCAAAAACGCTGATTCATTTATTGTTCATTAATTCAATCATTTTGTCTAATCAACCAATCACATGGCAGTTGCTTTTAGGGGCGTGGTCCTGGTCAAGACAATCTCCTCAACTCCAAACTGAATTTTAGAATGGGAAAGAAAGGTGATTTAGGCAATTTTGAGCGTGGCATGGTTGTTGGTGCCTGAGTATTTCACAATCTGCTCAGTTACTGGGATTTTCACACACAACCATTTCTAGGGTTTACAAAGAATGGTGTGAAAAGGTGGGCGAGAATGCCTTGTTGATGCTAGAGGTCAGAGGAGAATGGGCCGACTGATTCAAGCTGATAGAAGAGCAACTTTGACTGAAATAACCACTCGTTACAACCGAGGTATTCAGCAAAGCATTTGTGAAGCCACAACACACACAACCTTGAGGCGGATGGGCTACAACAGCAGAAGACCCCACCGGGTACCACTCATCTCCACTACAAATAGAAAAAAGGGGCAACAATTTGCAAAAGCTCACCAAAATTGGACAGTTGAAGACTGGAAAAATGTTGCCTGGTCTGATGAGTCTTGATTTCTGTTGAGACATTCAGATGGTAGAGTCAGAATTTGGCGTAAACAGAATGAGAACATGGATCCATCATGCCTTGTTCCCACTGTGCAGGCTGGTGGTGGTGGTGTAATGGTGTGGGGATTGGGGATTGGTGTAATGGCCTACCTGAGCATTGTTTCTGACCATGTCCATCCCTGACCACGGCCACCATTTACCCATCCTCTCATGGCTACTTCACACCATTCTTTGTAAACCCTAGAAATGGTTGTGTGTGAAAATCCCAGTAACTGAGCAGATTGTGAAATACTGGCACCAACAACCATGCCACGCAAAAAATTGCCTAAATCACCTTTCTTTCCCATTCTGACATTCAGTTTGGAGTTCAAGAGATTGTCTTGACCAGGACCACACCCCTAAATGCTTTGAAGCAACTGCAATGTGATTGGTTGATTAGATAATTTCATTAATGAGGATTTGAACAGGTGTTCCTAATAATCCTTTAGGTGAGTGTATATTTGGCATCTTATGATGTTTAATACTACACTTGTAAGGGTTACACCCCAAAATATTGCCTTTATCAATAACGAAATGTGACCATCTGTCTCAGTCTTTTTTTAAATTCCTGTCTATGACCTTAGAGTCATGTCTGCCCCTCCATCCGCACAATTGGATCGTTCTCACCCTCATGCAGCTTTGATGATTTTCAAAGCTTCACATCTCTCCTCCTGAGTACAACAGCACAGAAACCAGTGACTGTGTGGTGGCAGTCCAGGATAGCGAGTCGATGCAGGTGGTCATCCTTACCTTTCATCATGTCGCTGTTAGCCCGAGCAGAGACGTACAGTGAGAGTGTGATGTTGGGGGTCAGTTTGTGTCAGCCTAGATCAGATGAGATGGGCTTTGATGTTCGCTGGGAACCTGAGTCATTCAGCTAGCTCAGATCCAATTTCTGACCCTGTCCTCGGCACACGCATTGGGGTCAAGACTCAAATACCCCTCCGGCCTGATTCTGATCCCTGCACAAACTCGGGACAACACCAAATGCCAAGTAAGATTAGAGCCGTCAATATTAAACTGGGCGCACCACAAGGAATTCAAATGTCGTATTAGGCAGGAGACTGAAGGGTCCGATTCACTCATTTCTTAGGTATGGCTGGATAAAGAATTCGATTCATTTCAATTCAATTTCAATTCTCGATTCAATATCAATTCATTTGGATATATATCAGGGTTAAAGAGCACGAAAACAGCATTTTTTCAATTGAATTTAGAGAAAAATTTGACAGAATTTGAATTGATGCGTAAACAAAACTTCACTTTTGTGCACCTGCCATATAATAATCGCAATAATATTTGTTGAAGTTTTGTTCACGCATCAATTGAAAACAGCAAGAGATTGATTTTAGGATTTATGAATCCCAAGTTAAAATGAAGATTGATTGATCAAGTTTGTCAACCCAGCCTTAATATTCGGGTTCATAACAGGGACTCCAAAACAGCTGTCACGATCATCTCAGACAGGATAAAAACAACCGTGGATAACGCGACCGCGTCGACCAGCCGTCTCCGCCAGATGTGGCATTTCGTGGCGTTCCCGCCTAAACGGCTCCGATAAAGAGTTCGCTTGTGCGGTCCAGAGAGGATGAGACCTGCATAAATGAGAACGGATGAACCTGGCAGGCAATTCTCATTCAGCGATGGGCTCGGCCCAATAATGAGGTGGATCTCAATTATGCCGGCACGGCGCTGTGAAATGGACCGGGGTCTCCCACCCCGACGCCTCTCGAGGCCCTTCAAGCCCCCTCGTCCAAATTGAACTGATGGAGCAGAAAAGCCATTTTGATTTTCGTTCTCACCTCCGAAAACACGTTTTGGCAGTGATAATGCCAGGCTGCCGTGGGCATCTGCCATGCGCTTGCGAAGGGGGTCGTCGGGTCCCTATCGGACGCGCCGTATAGGGGCGTAATTGGATTTGTGCTGACAGTCTGTTGACACAGACATTATTAATTGGGGTGGCTGGATTGACACGCACTTAGATAGCCACATCATAAATGCATGAAACTCAGCGCGATAATTGCGATCGCTCCACTAACCGCGGTGGGCTTGATTAATGATGCCGTCATCAGCATATGCCAAAGCTGACCTCACGGTTATTGAGTTAGCGGGCTAATCAGAGAAGAGGTGGGACGTCTATGGCTCATTCGCACTCAAAAGCAGCACGAGAGATTGTTGAGGCTCTTCAAACGACTCTTATGACCTAATGAATGCAACGGTTACCGCTGAAGTTTACGGACTAATAGAAGCAACAACCAAACAAATCACAGCAGGATCACTAAAACTATAGGCTTTGAGTACTAGGAACTGGTGGGAAATAAGCTTACCGTACAGTATGTACCAAGGATTTTTTTATGTCTTTGGAGTGAATCTATTCAACATGTTCAGAAGCGCTCACTTACAATCTCCTGCTTCCATTCTTTCATAAAATGCACTTTTCCTCACCTATCACTCAAAACCACAAGACACAAGAACACTGTCAAATACTCCTTATAAATATTAAATGAACTGAGACTACAGGACGGTTGCTGAATAGTATCAGCTCCATCTACTGAACTACAATCAGACAGAAAATCCTTACAGTATTGACCAAATAATCATATTTGGTAGCTATTAAACGAGTACAAAGTCATCTATATGTATGTAAAGTAACTGTAAGGGTGTGATTGTGTCCTACAGGTGTGGTGCCCAATAGTCTGGGTCTACACAGCCTGCAACCCAGTCCAGTGGCTCCAGAGAGCCAGGCTCAATCTCCCACACAACTGCAGTACCGCAACAAAGCCCAGCACCGCCGATTCTCCATGGAGGTGAGTACTGTCTCATCTTATCCTTCTCCAGCTCTTTCCTTTGATGGAGACCCAGTGATCCTAACAGAACAACACAAGATCAGCTTGTAATCTTGTCTGAGTCATTAATAAAGTCTTTGCCAGAGGCACAAAAGCCTTGTTATCAAAAGCTTTGTTTCTCTGTAAGGTGACACCAGGTAAAATAAAAAGAACTAAAGAGATGGCAACTTTTGCATTCCCCCATTTTGTGATGGAAATGGTATGAATATATATATATACGAAATAATTATATTACAGTGCTTTAACGAACAAATGCAATGTTTCTCGGGGGAACGCAATAGTTTTCCGAGAAAATGCAAAGTTTCTTGGGAAAACACAATACTTTTGCGAGAGAATGCAAAGTTTCTCGGGGGAACGCAATCAATTTAAGAGAGAATGCAAAGTTTCTCAAGGGAACTCAATGTTTTTGAGAGAGAGAAGCATTGACATCATTTTTTTCTTCCCAACTCATATTTTTCCCGACCACCAAGGCAGGAGCCAAGCTAGTGCAGGCTCTGATTACTCTGTTCTTGACATTCGACAATGTTTTTATTTTGAATCCACTTTTCTTGCAGGTAGAATGTAGCACTATTATTTGTTAGACATATATGTCACCTGTCTCTCCTTAGGGGCTCCGTAGAGTTTCTGGCAAAATAATTTATTAATCAAAATGTATTTCTAGAATGCATTTCACAATACAAATCTATGGAAGCTTGTTTCTGCCACAGAATGAAAAATAAAAAAAGGTAATTGTGACTTTCTCACAATTCAGACTTTATTTCTCAGAATTGCGAGATATAAAGTCAAAATTGCGTGATATAAAGTCAAAATTGCGAGATACAAGTCAGAATCGCGAGATATAAAGTCACAATTGCTAGATATAAAGTCGCAATTGCGTGTTATAAAGCAAGAAATGCTTGATATAAATTTAGAATTGCGAGACATAAAGTCACAATTGCGTTATAAAGTCAGAAATGCGAGATATAAAGTCATAATTGCGTGATATAAAGTCAGAATTGTGAGATATAAACTATTCTGAGGAAAAAAGTTTGTCTTCTTTTCCCCTTAGAATTGGACTGTGATAACTAGCAATTGAGAGTTTATATCTCACAATTCTGAGAAAAGATGTCAGAATTTCGACATATAAAGTCGCAATTATGTGTTATAAAGTCAGAATTGTGAGATGTAAACTCGCAATTGTGAGAAAAAAAGTCCGAATTGTGAGATAAAAAGTCGCACTTCTGTCTTTTTTTTCTTACAATTGCAACTTTATATCACGCAATACTGACTTTATATCTTGCATTTCTGACTTTATAACACGCAATTGCGACTTTATATCTCACAATTGCGACTTTATTTCCACAATTCCGACTTCATATCTCGCAATTGTGAAATAAAAAGTCGCAATTATTTTTTTCTTTTTTTTTATTCAGTGGCGTAAACAAGCTTCCATACAAATCACTACAAATAAAAAAGAGAAAAAAGTGAATTATCCAGTAACATTACTTAAATATGCAATCTGTAAATGTAATTCTGTGCAATTCGGTGACATACACGTCTCGCAAATAATAGTGCTGCATTCTACCTGCTAGAAAGGTGGATTCAAAACTCAAACACATTGTTGAATGTAAAGAACAGAGTAATCAGAGCCTGCACTAGGCTCCCGCCTTGATCATCTTCCTCGTTCCTCTCCTCCTCCACCATAATCATCCATGCGATTCTATATCGGGTGTACGAGGGAAAAGTCTCGGTTGGAGGCGCATGAGAAAGATGGAGTCCATCATTAAATGGAGTGGAAGTATTACCTGTAAGTTAGTCTAGAGCAACAAAAGACAGACTCTGCATTCGGAGTGTTCTTCGCCTCAGCTGTCAGCTTTCTTATTCACTGGCCATGAATCTACAGGGGGAAAATTGGAATGAATGCCCTCTCCCATTTTCAAACGCGACAGCTTCTTTCTGCTCTCGCGAACCTTTTATCTGCACCATGCACCCTTATTTTATTCCCACGGGCATGACGGGAGAGAGCCGAGGAGAAAGGGAGGACTTTTTATTCCCTGGTTTTATTGAGAATCACTCGCTGGTTTTATTGCACGACCGTACAAACGCAGCCACAAGGCAGAGCAGGAGGATTCACATGTGGGAATGCTCTCATTTTTCAGAGCACATAAGATTCCCGTGCTATTTCTGGGCCTCGCCTAACCGAGTAACGGCCTAACTCCATCAGAGCTTCTTAAATGCGAAAAGATTGTTGGAGATACTTCAGTTCATTGCACGATACAAAATGTTGTCCAACCCAGCCTCGCCGTATTGGGATTAAGCCAGAATCCTTTATTGAGTGTGAGTCTTCACAAGTGACAGGTTCTCATTGTCATGCCAAGTTCGCCTTGGTAAGAATAGTCAGCTCTGCCTATAGGCGTAGAGTTGTGTTGCACAGTGGAGAAAGCTGTCAGATTCACCTTGACTCTCTGTGCTTCATATGTGTGTATGCTGAACGCTAATAGCTGACAGCTCTTTGATGTGTGTGCAGGATGTAACCAAGAGGATGTCTCTGCCCATGGATATTCGTCTCCCACCGGAGTTTCTGAAGAAGTTACAGATGGAAAGCACTCCACCATGCAAACCTCTCAGTCGCATGTCCAGAAGAGCCTCACTGGTTAGTAACCAAACTAAACTCACACAGAAATAGGGTACATCATAGTCTAAGTTAATGCTAATATCTACACACCAGCCCGGTCTCATCCCAAGGCGTCATATACTGACACTTTTGACATTTCGTCTACATCCAACGCACCCTTTAGCGTCAAAATGAGACGTAGATATTAGTGCTGTCAAACGATTAAAATATTTAAATCATGATTAATCGTATTAATGTCATAGTTAACTCGTTCTAAATGTCACTTGATTTCTTTTTGTCCCATTATTTTTTTCTCATTTTACTGCTCTTATCAACATGGAAAACTGTATCGGCTTGCTTTGTGCAAATGTTGTTGTTTTTTTTTGTTTTTTTGAAAACAACATTGGCATATACGGTGTTCAATTTGACACTAACATTCACAATTGGAGCAAATAATCTCTCACACAATGTAACACTAGCCATGTTTCCAGACACGTTTTTATCCAAATTAAGTGATATCGAATGAAAAATGCCTTATTTGATGAAATTTCATGAAAATCGACTCAAATGAAATGCGTTCGGTCTCATCGGATTTCATCTTGATCGATATACGGCTAATGCGATAAAAGCTGATGGAAACGTTATTTGCCAAATAAATAATGAATTTGCGATTAAGTTTTAGGCCCTTTTATGGTTGCAACACGCCAGAAGACGAGTTCATTTCCGGCCAGTCTGTTTGCGCACACATGGCAGATGTCAACAAAGACAGATGTAAGTGGACAAAGCAAAAAGATGCTTCAACCAAAGGGTTTCCGTGAACCACGATCTCCCAGAAGTGATGGAGCGCTGTCGTTCCCACACCTCCACTGTCGTCGGGCATACGTGCATCGGCATCATCATAGCAATGTTTATAGCGTCGTTGTTTTCTTAGGTTAGTTTTGCTTGTTTTTACGTGGCTTGGTTGAGTTCTAATGTAGAATGTGTGTAATAATATATAGCGAGGCGGTTGTTATAGCGAATACAACCCCTTCAACAACCGCCTCACATACATTATCCCATTCATATCTGTCGCTATCAGCTGGCACATAAACATTATTAGGCTTCAACTTGTGAAATATTGATCATTTGTTGGTAGATGGCGCGATCCGTTTTGTCTAACAAAATTTGTTTACAAAAGTTTGCTTGAATGTTGTTCGATTCAGTGCGAAAAAGAAATGGAAACACCTTAAAATGTCTCAAATCAATTCGATATACCAATTTGATCGCAAACGAGTGTGTGCGGCATGCCTGTTGTTTTGTTTCTGGTCTAGCCACCTAGATCTTCGTGCGGCGCAAGCCATTGAAATGAATGGGTTTCATACATAGCACAGCAAGTGAAAAAAAAACTACAAAGTTTGCTAGGCCAAAAAGGCCGTTAATCGCGCAATAAAAAAAATGACGCCGTTAAAATGGGTTTGCGCTAACGCCGTTAATAACGCGTTTAACTGACAGCCCTAGTAGATATCTTTGGGCCAGAAGGTGCCCCCCTAGTGGTGTAACCCTAACCCTTCTCCACACCTAAACCTACCCATAACCGAACAAAGCTCTGTGCGTGTTAAATTGACACTAAATGGTGCCATGTGCGTTGGATTTAGACGAAACGTCAAAAGCGTCACTATATGACGCCCTAGGATGATAATGCGTTAGACTAACACAACACTACAGATGCAATGCAACTTTTTTCATTTAAAATAGAATATAAAGATGTTATTAGAATAAAATAGCTACTGTAGCCAAGTAAACCTGTCTATTTACATTCCAAAAACCATGAGAGTTTCCTTACTATAGACAACATTCCTTTGGCATCACAGACACTAAAGAGTGTCTCCAGCAACTGTATTTTGCAGATATTGCAATCCCAGAATGCATTGCAGCATGTAAAAATTAGGTTGATGTCATGTATGATCACTAGGGGTGTAATGAATATAATATAGTAGTACATAGAATATAGTAACGAAAAATATTCATGATTCTGAAGCTGAAAATACAGAAATATTTTAGACGAATATGCTCAGTCACTGATACGTTTAAAATAATGTAGGCCACTTTTTACTGGTAACATAAGACATTTGGCATTACCAGGAAACCATACATATTCACACACCAATTGCATTATTATACATTATATTCAACATTATATATAGTAGTTTATATAATACCGACACTTCACAGTACATTTTGCTACTATCCATGATACATATTGTTGCATTTTTGTATTGCGATATATATCGCGACACAATACATTGTTACATCCCTAATGATCACATTATATCTTAATGAGTCCTGAAAAGAAAGATCATCTACATCCAGAACCTCACTGTGGCACTTTATACTAGGGATGCCCGATACACTTTTTTGGAAAACGGTTACGAGTACGAGTACTTGCATTTTTAGTACTCGCCGATACCGATACCAAGTACTTAATAAAAAACAAAAAAAAACTATGATTGAAATATTTTTATATACGGGTTTTTAGGTCCTTGATTAAATTACTTGGGTAACACTTTATTTCGATAGTCCACTTTACTAACTATAAGTAACTTTTCAATTACATGTCAACTAACTTCATTAGAGTAGGCTATATAGACTAGAGTATTAGTACAATCAGCTAAAATTCTGATAACACTTTTATTTTATTTGGTCCCCAACAGACATTCAACTGACTATAAGTAACTTGGCGACTACAAGTAAACTTATTCTCCTAATCCAAAGCCATTCACGAAATTGTTCCACACCAGTGGTGCACGGGTTGATCCAAAATGAGCGGGTGCCTGCGCCGCGGTCACCCGCAGTTACGGGGTATCCAAAAATATTTTTAATGATATTCGGGTCGCGGTCGGTCAGGTCGTTTGGAAAAAAATGCCAATTAAACCTTTGTATTTATATAGTACTAGATAGAATTTTCTATGAAATATATAGGCCGAATTTATTTATTGGCTGAATAACTGGCACGAAGATGACACACAAGCTCAGTCTAAACAGTTCTCAGTTCTGTACTGGTGTGATCCGAGAACCGCTGTTACCTCTGCGTTCGTTACTATACGCGGATGCGCAGTATCAGTATCAACAACATGTCTCAGTTCAGTGAACTGTTAGAGTTACTGGAGTAAAATATAATTTCGGGATATTGGTTTATTTCAACTCGGAGGGACTGTCAGGCATGTCTGAAAGTGAGTAACTGTAGTAACTTGTGGATCAGCACTGACGCAAGACGTGAACTGATGCGAATGATTCAGTTCGATTTAGCGTACTGGTTCGACCGGTTCATTAAAAAGAACCGATTCGTTCACGAACCGGCCATGTCTATGATCACTAGTCTGCAGAGAGATGGAGGCGGCAAGAGAAAAGGCTGGGGAGTGGAAGCTCCGCAAATACACAAATAGAAAGAGTAAGTGTGGGAGACATTTACCGAAATAATGAAAGATGATGACCAAAGTGCTGCCTTTGTTATATGTAGGCTACGTCTTCTTGCGATGCTGTGTTGTTACAAGTTTATGGCCCAATGACGCTACGATGAGCATGTACTACTTTTAAAAAATACGGTCAGGAAGAGGGTCGGGTACAATATTTTCTTACTTTTTTTGCGGTCCGAGTAGCGGGCGGGTAGTTGAAAACGTTGGTAGTGTGCGGGTTGTTTATACATTGACCCGCGCATCACTGTTCCACACGGCTGACATGTCTCCCCATCTCCCCGCTCTGAGCTGCAGCCGGAGCCTGGGGGTGGGCACTCGGCGCCTGTGATTAACCCATTTCTCAGAACATGGTATCGGTCCCCGGTATCGGGGGACTTTTAACGAGTACGAGTACTTTAGAAAATGTGGTATCGAGGCCGATACCAGATACCGGTATCGGTATCGGTGCATCCCTACTGTAAACTACGCTTTTACTATTTATAAATTGCTGACTCTGTTACCCAAACACTGAGCGAACTCCGTGTTTCCGGTGATGCGGTTATTACTCCGTCAACGTAGCAGTGCTTCGCCTTCAGAGAATAGTTCCCAGGTTTTATATGGTTAAAAGATGTCTGCGTCTCATTTGACTTTGTTATTTGTACATTATGTGACTATACAAATCACAACATGTAAATAAGAAAAACGTTTGTGTTATTTTGCCACTCATTTGGATTAGTATGAAAGCTGCAACCAGTCACATCCAGTCTTTGTGCTAAGCTAGGCTAGCGGTGGGTGCGTCAAACAGACTTATAGCACGCACGGAGATGAAAAAGGTATGTATGGACTTATCTAACTCTGGGGGGTAAGGTGAATAGGCTAAAGTCCCAAAAAGTCGGAGTGTTCCTTTAAGTTGTTTTGATTGATACTGTGAAGCAGCTTTGATACAATCTGTATTGTGAAAAGCGCTATATAAATATATCTGACTTGACTTCATTGGGGACCAAACGGTTCAAGGTCCAAATGAGAGTTTCAGTGCAGCTTCAAAGGGTTTTAAACGACACCAGACGATGAATAAGGGTCATTTCAAAATAAATAAAAAAAAACTAAGTTTTATAAGCACAAATGGTCGCCTTGCTCTGTTCTGTGATGCACGTTCGTGACTCTCCTGTTTGAACTCGTTCATCAAAATGAACGAATCTTTTATATCTAGTCATTTCGTTCGTTAAATGAACCAAATGACTCGGAAAAAAGATTGGTTCATTTTGATGAATGAGTTTGAACTACGGTTTATAAAGAAATGAATACTTTTATTCAGCAATAATGTGTTAAATTGATTAAAAAAAATGTAATAGTAAAGATTTGTTGTTAGTAAAGATTTATGTTTTGAATAAATGCCGATCTTTCGAACCTTTTATTCATCAATGAATAGTTACTTACATATTCAATTTTATTGTAGGCTGTCAGAACAGTAGATACATGAATAGAATGTTTTTAGTTTAGATTGTGTGTGTGTGTGTGTGTGTGTGATGCCAACACATACACTTGCTGTAATAATGAATTTCCTGTTTGCTACCCCTTCAGCTGCCATGGGTGCCATCTTTGGAATGGCCACTTGTCTAAGTGCACATGCCCGAGATGCAC